TTTTTGAAAATCTAAAAATGCAGAAAGTTTCCTTTTAGGGGTAGGGTTGGTGTAGGGCAATAGAATATACAGTCTGTTCAGTGGAAAAACCATTACGCCTATGGAGAGTCCCCACAAGGATAGCTGACCTGTGTGTGTGTGTGTGTGTGTGTGTGGAGAGTGAAAGGGGGGGGATACAGGGCTAAACACGCTTCTCCTGAAGTGTGACCTGTTGGGAGGCCTTGAGTCAATTTCTCTTTTATTAAACACACTTCCTACTGAGACTGAAACTAGGCTTATTTAGGTAATCCGCACTTTTGATTTTCGCCTGCTTTTCAAAACGTTATTTAAAAGGATTATATGTAAAAAAAAAAAATTAGGTTGTGTTTGTTTTGGTTATAGCATAAACGGATAAAATATATTATTAAATAATATTGTAAAATGTATATTTTGTCCTAATGAAATTAATTCAGCGAAATTAGTTAAAATGAAAATATTTAAATATTTGTATAACTTACGTTTGAAGCCAGCGTTATATAGATGCAAGAGATTGAACACAAATCTACCCATTTATACTTAGCTTTATTAATTGCACACCAAGGTTTATGTAGAGGTTTTAATATTTCGCTCTCGTCTTTTTCTTTCTCATAATAGAATGGATTTATACCGCTTGATTTACCATCCTTTTATTGTTATTTTTATACAACAATAAAACTATTAATTAATTCTCCAAAATAATATCACATCAAACTACAAGCTTGACGAATATGAGACTTTATGTAGCTAAATAAGATGTATGTTTTTATTTATAAATGTATAACAATATTAAATAAAAAATTACAACAGGAGTTATAGCAATGTCAAAGTAACAATTTAAACGCTTTAGCTTGTCTTTAATTAATTACCTATTTACAAATACTGTTTGACGACGAGATTAAATGGCTACACAGCTTTTACAAAATGGAGCATTGTAAGCCATCTGCCTCTTAAAAAAATTACATACTATAAACATACACACTACAAAGTGTTTAATATATATTCTGATGTAAAATGTATACATTATTTTTCTTTTCTTTTTAATGCTGCCAATCGGGTTGCTCTAACAGAATTGCGTTGTATAAACATATGCAAAGCCAATTAAAGACCTAACCTTAAAAGTGTTCTCGCTCAGGTGTTGAATATCGTAGCAATAAGCATATAGTATCTTTCTATCGGACATTTGAAACGATAAACGAAGCAGAAATTGTAATTTTGCAGTGGGAATTAAGGAATATACTGGCTTTGTTACTCGAAATAGTAGGCTAGCTTTTTTGTTTATTCTTCAAAGACGTTCAAAATCATGATTTCTGGTTCATTCAGTCTATAATTTTACACAGTTTTCTCGTTTTATAGTCTACCAAAGAAACCATTTTTGTGTTGACGCTTATTTCAGGCCTGAAACATATGCTAAAGATGAAGTAAACATAGGCCTACTGAACTTTTACTACCTCTTGTTTGAATCCACCGGTCCGCCAGGAAACGGGTGTATTAATAGATGTTATATAGCTATGGTAGGCTATTCAGCTATATATATATATATATATTGGAAACTATATATCTATTTTCTTTCAGCTTCCAGCTGAACTATCAGTTAACGGCTGGACGACGGTGACCGTTAGAAGCGCGCCATCGACAGGCAAGGCAATAGCATTTACAAGCTATCAACACAACAGTGACAGAGAAACATATCATGGACATTTCTTTTTAAACATCTAGCGAACACATATTCTGTTGAATTTCGTTCAGCATATATTTACAGTCACAAACCGCAATCTAATCTGGAATATTTGGAAGCGCGGGAAAATGGCCGCTACTTTGAGTTCACTCTGTATGCAGATTATGAAATTGGGTAACTTTACGTGATTTAATGTTTCGCTAAACAGTCGAAACAGTGGTGAATTAGAGACAGGCCTACTTTGCATAAACCCTTTAAGGCTGGCTTTAGTCATTAAGTTTAAAATTGTTACATTTTTAGGCCTATATTCCTTAAATGCGTTTATCAAAACGTTATTTCTTTTTATGTATTTCTTTTTTGTCTGGTTCGTGTTCCAGCAATCCCTAATGGGATTAGATTTCTACTGTCAATATAGTACTCTTTATTATCAGACACTTGCCTAATTCAAAGATCGTGTGGGGCCCAGCAGGCCCTTTGGTCACAATCCACAAAAGATCAAGTTTATGGTCAAATGAAGGAGTACATTGAAATGAATGGTAGGCACGCGGGGTTCTATTTAATTATTTATTTTTTAAATGATTCCTTTTTTAATTTCTCGACCACACGTGGTGCAGGTGCAAAGGTTTGATTCGAACTCAGGTCGGTGCTTCCAAACATCCAACATTCCATCCGTCGGTGCGTTTCGGTGTAGCGTTTTTCGTTGTCAAAAACCTCACTGAAACTACTTTGTAGTGTAATTAGCAGTTTATTGATTAACGTATAGTTACCAATCAATCCACTGTCTGAAATTGAATATCAAATCAAGGCAAAACAACTATTTACCGACAGCTGCGTGCCCTGCTGTTAAACTGCATTTGGCCTAATGATTGAAAAAAAAAATTCAGCATCACCTGCAATTAATTTTTAGTGTTACTAAAACACACACACTTTTTGCCTGGCCCTGTGTCTGTGATACAGGCCTGTGGTGTGTTGAAACACACACAGACAATAAAATGCAAAATTAAATAAAGACAGTAACCAAAAACATTCTTTGCAGTGATGCAAGTAGCTTAATAAACGAGACAGAAAATGAAATCAGCAAATGGCGTTTTAGTTCACGCCGTTACATTGAAAAGTCCTTCACCATGCAGCTTTGGGCAAAAGATGGCAGTCTAGTGAACTCAAGCATGCTCAAAGCATTTTCCCACCATGCTTTAATAATCAGCGTGACTTTTTATTCATCTACCATACACAATGAGAAAAGCATAAATACTATTATGAACAAAACATATTATGAGAAGTCTCGCAGTTAACGAATTTCGTTTGGGAAATTGTTTAAAATATAACTTTAGTAAGCAACATTCAAATAAACGTTGCAGTTCTATACACACTTTTCTTTTCAGCGAAAATGAACTATATTACATTTCCCAGACGAATATGACCAAGGATGCGAATTATTATTATTATTATTATCAAACAACAGTGTTTAGATAATTCCTTTATTTTAATGTGTTTATCCAGGGAACGTTAACTCAAAGGTAAATGTGAATAACTGATCAAATAATCGTCCCTGTATCATATAACAAGCTTCTTACCTTTAGCGAAACTTTACGAAAATGAATATTTAGTGTAGCTACAGTAAGCAGAGAGCAGGGCCCATATGTCCTCCAGAACGAAGATGATGAATCTCCAGCAACAGATGTCCAGGCACAATTCTTGGATTTAAATTATATTTTACAAGAATTGCGTTTGGACAATCAATCTCTGGGACCCTTTGCAAAGGTTATTTTTTCAACTCCATGGAAATATATTCTATGAGTAAACCAAAACACAAACTGAGATCTCACACTGTGTCCCTGTGGCTGTTGGGCCTATGCGTAGATTTTCACACAAAATGTCACTCTTTTATAACCCTGTTTAAAACACTTTCGTTCCGCATTTCTCATTCTTTTAATGTCTGTATTTTACTTTAAAATGGAAAAGTGTATCGCGTTGTTTGCTGTAATGAAATAGACAGACAAACGGGTGTTAGTGTCTAGCTCTGGCGCGTGCATTTTACCTCTGAATTAACGAATTAAGATTTCTATTTTCTTTCAAAAAGAAAAAAGTTGCAATCGGTCTTTAAAAAAATTAAAAAGCCACATATTCCCAAACGGGTTCTAACTTATAAACCGTAAAATTCATTTTAATTAAATCCACGGTGAAATGTAAAACTCGAATATATTTTCCTTTTAGAGAGCTTTTCCTTTAAGAAGAGGGTTAAAAGTTTGACGCGCGTTCAGTGCGCTTGTCGGAATAAACCACACAAGAAAATGCACAACCTCAGCTCACCACATAAAAATAAACACTTTTGACAAAAGAAATCAAATCAGCTAAGGAACAGTTTTGTAAAGTCCCGCTTGTTACAGAAGCAGCTCTTCGCCATTGCTGCACCTG